AATACGACCCCACAAAAATATGTAAATCTCGGGCGATACAATTGGTGAGAGCGAATGCTTCACGAGTCGCAAAGTAAGGAGTTGACAGCCAGCCAGACGCCGGGTATTGTCGCTCTGCAGGCATGCTTATGAAGCTATCTTAGAACTAAGACATATCTACGGACGAACTTAGGATATATCTTAGTCCTAAGTGGGGCCAACGAAGCTGTCCTATCTTAGGAGAGTTCTTAATGATAGTCCTAACTTTAGGACTACTACGAGCTGTCCTAAGACATGTCTTAAGAGAGTAAGATGTCCTAAGTTGTAAACAAGTATGGCGTATGTTCTGTGGGTGGACAGACAGAGACGGCTTCGAAGACGGGATAGGATATTTAGGGACAGGGACAACCCTTTTGACTAAGAGTCAGATGAACGTATAGTCCTTAAAGGTACTTGGACACAGATTTGAAGTTTATTTTTTCTCTATAATATTACGACTTATATATTTTAGTGGCATTTCACACAAAAATTAATTAAAAATCTTATTTCATTTATAAGTTATTAAAATTTTTATTTTTTTGGCGGGTTTGATTGACACGTCCTTGCACTTTCACAAATTTTAACTTTATTCTTAATCCTTAGGAAAAATGGCAATCTTGTTGTGTATTAATGAAAAATATTAATACTATAATCCAGAAAATTCAGAGTAGACATGTTCGAAAGCAAAACAAGCACACAATATATTGTCAGTCCGTGCAGTTGTGGTGAGCAGACTGTGGCGATTAAACGCACAAACACCAAACAATAACAGGCTCTTGCTTTGTTTACAAAAACTGTGTACATAACACGATCGAGTGTGCTCGATTTGCTAAACTCTGTATACAACGGAATGACGATACTTGTGAAGGAGTTTTGCTTTCTAACATTTCTACTCTGAATAAAATTATATTTCTGGATTTAAGTTTTAATATTTCTCAATAATACACAACAAGATTGCCACTTTTCCTAAGGATTAAGAATAAAGTTAAAATTTGTGAAAGCGCAAGGATGTGTCAATCAAACCCGCCAAAAAATATAAAGTTTTACTATCTTTTTAATGAAGTAATATTTTTAATTAATTTTTATGTGAAATGCTATTAAAATATATAATTCGTGATATTATGCAGAAAAAATTAACTTCAAATCTGTGTCCAAGTACCTTTAAGTACAGACTTTCAAGGCCTTTGATGGTCAGTCTTTGTCAAATGTTCCAACACAATATTGAACGACCCAGAATGAGGTCATTCGCATTCCCTGTACTCGTACATAATATACCTCAGTGCTACCATGATCTGAAGTGATACAGGGATTTTTTTTTCATATGATACACTTACATAAAGGATGTTTACATTCAGTTTCACTCCCTTTAGAGGTGCTGCATTCTGCTGTATCAATACCACCATCAACGCCCTCCAAATCCCTGATACTTTCTCTTGAAGTGGTGTAAGGTCCGTACAGGTAGAAGGTGCTTTCACTCCTCCTGTCCCAGTAGACTCTCTGCGGTTTTGTGTGATTTTCTTTTCCGTGTCACTTGTATAGACGAGAATTTTTTCCTTACTTCTTCTACTGTTCTGACGTGATCGCTTGAGTTTCAAGCATTCACTTTTTCACATACAAGCTCCTACACGCGTTTTTTGTTATTATTCAAAACCAACTTAGAGAGTTTTGAAAAAAATCACTGTTTTATTCTTTTCCACCTCATCAAGAAGAACTTGCAGTTCATTTTCCGAAAAGTTTGGGTTTCTTTTACGGCTCATGTCTGACACGTGCAAATTATTTCCGAATGCTGTTCTTCTCATGTAGTGGAATACATTGTATCCACAGGGGCCGGTAACATACTGTTTTTGATTTTACATAATCACTTTATATATACAAAAAAGGAAAGGGAAACAACGTCAGCCCGAATTTACACAGGGTCGATCTCGGAAATATTTCGTATTTCATAGAAAAAAGAATGTAGCCAATTAAATTATAACTAGAAATCATACTACAATAAATATTCTTTAATAAAACAGAAACCTCGTTACTTTTTATAGCGTTTAAGTTGGGTAATACTAACTCGATATCCCGTTGTGCGAGTCGATGTACTTTAAGTCGTCCACTAAAACGAGGCAAAATTCGCACATTTTTCTCCAGTTGAAGTCTTTCCAGAGATGGAAAACACGAAGTAAAGATCCAGCGTTCACGAAAATCATTTTTTTCTTTTGTTAATTGCAATTTAAAGGTACAACATCTCCGATTTGAATAAATACGGTAGCTTTTTTCGTTCACAGAGAGGCTCGAGCCCAGAACAGACGACATTTTGGAAAAACCCATGATTGGTAAAAGGCGGAGCGTGATTGGTCAGATCTGTTCTAGAAAAGCACCATTGACCAATCACATCTCGCGTTAAATATTGGATGCAATGTTTAGCGAATTTAGTGGACGACTTAAACTACATCACTTGCATGACAGGATATCGGATCTGCAAAACACGACTTTACACGATTCTTAAATGACCACGATGGTATTTTTATTAAAGAGTGATTATTACTGAATGATCCCAGACGTTATTTCACTAACTGCAAGGTATTTTATTGAAAACACGAGTCATTTCCGAGATCGACCCTGTGTAAATTCGAGCTGACGTTGTTTCCCTTTCTCTTTTTGTATACATATAGTGATTACGTAAAATCAAATACAGTATGTTACAGGCCCCTGTGATTGTATCTAAGAACAATAGGGACCCCCAAAAGATTTATTCAAAACGGACCGGTTCCAACATAGCTCGGACATGAGTGAATAAGCAGTGGCTTCTCTTGTATAATCCCATGTTAAATTTCAAAATGAAGCTGTTTCTTTCTCTCACCCCCCCCCTTTCCTTTCAAAAATTTAATTTTTGTACAGTGATGAGAATATGTATGAACATATGACATAAAAAATCAACACAAACATTGTACCCTGTGAATGTATGTATATGCCTGTACAAATCTAAATTCTTTTAAGAACTAAGGAGGAACTTCCTCTACGACCCCCCCCCTTCCATTACGTACATATGTATATTATTATAGAAACTTTAAATAAAAACTTCCTGTAGTTATTGTTTTACAACAAAAGAAAATGGCTAAGATGGAATTTACGACATCTTAACCTAGTATATTCCTAAGATGCTTTCGTTTTACACCCTAAGACGTATCTTAAGATATTCCTAAGATATGTCCTAAGAAATATCCTAAGACACGTCTTAAGACACATCTTAGGAAATTTTCATAAGCATGCCTGCTGCTCTGTAGGCAATACAAAGAAATAATAATGTGATCAGCGAGTCGTCAACAAAATTACTTAAACTTAAATATCACTCTTATCCTTCACACAAGTATATCCTAAAGTTAATTCCGGTAGTAAAAGGATGTCGGGGTTCCTCATTGACATCAATTCCATTTTCATGTTTTTAAGTAAAAAAAAAAAACTTTTTAGTGTGAAAAGTGAAGGTAACAAAAAATTGAAAGCGTTTTGAAATTATTATACTTCTGCTACAGTTGATAAGAATGGAGTAAAAGAAGACTGTACTAAGAGAGATAAATCCAATACACTTTAGCAGTTTCTGATTGCTACGAACGATGTTCTAGGATGCAATTCTTTGTATCGGGTTTTGGTTTTAAGAAATGATGTTACCATGGTAACAAAGAGATTTCGAAAATATATCTTTACTACTGTACAAACAGTGAAGTATTTTTTCATTGCAGCATCCTCTGTGAAACGGGACCTCAGTTTATATGGTCTCTTCCGAAGGACTTTTTCCATGTCGAGCCAGCGACGCAAGGATCATATACTTACTTTGCCTTTCTATAGCAAGAGATCTAATTACTGCGCCAAGCAGGCGACTTAAAGAAAGAAGTAGTAAAGAAACATTTTTTTTGCCCCCTCCCATTTTAAAAAAAAAAATTTCGAATACCGTCTTTATTCTAATGAAAACTTGTTTGAACAACTTATTTCTTGTGATGGTGCTTATTATATATTAACTAAAAATTCGATATAGTATTTTCAGTATTTGATTAACAACATGTTAAAAATAAAAAAAAAAGTAAAGTGACCGAACAGTGATCGATCTCATTAAAACTTCCGACTAAACAAGACAGTGACCAGGGCGTAACCAAGGGTATTCTAAAGGTAGGATCAGTTGCCAAAGAAGACTAAGCATCCCCTGTTGTCACCCGTCGTGAGCCCTATTTTCTTATTAGGTAATTGTTAGAATAATTATCATGTGTTCATGTACAGTATGGGTAAATGAAGCGTGTTTTGGGACATCTGAGCCATTTTTTTTAAATTCTGAGAATTATCACAAACTTACCAAGTCTGTCCTAGACTAGCATAAACAATTTAAACATTTGACTATATCTGAAGACTAAACTGATATGCAGACGTTATGTTTGCCCTGTATGCCGTTCGTTTTGTTTACTGGATTTATTTTATCAGATTGATCATTAAATTGAAAACCTTTTTCAATTAAATTGATATTTCCATCATAGTGTTATATTTTCTATTCTCGTTTGATATAGACCTACGGTATCCGTTTGCGTGAGATCAGGTTAAATTTCATGTTCACACTTATAAACAATTATACTGCTTATAAGCTCACGTTGTCGCATTACTGAATATAAATTTCACTTGGATTGTGTGGTCCTAGAAAAAAAGACACTTGGATGTCCTCACACGTACATCTACTTTCATGTCGTGGCCAATAGTTGAAATGTAGAAGCTCTAATGCCGGAAAATAAGGTTCAGCTTACACTTTTGGGAAGGCCAGTATGTGATAGGTATTTCAACCTAGCTATAACTGACAAACAAAAACAACTTTGTTTCCAAAAATCAATATATATCTTTATATTGAGTAAATAATATTTTAAACATGTGGTAAATGCATTTTAAGTTACTAATGTTATATGTGTTAATAAATTTATAAATGCAATGTCACTGTCAATTTGGTATTTACATGGAAAGATAACAGGTGAATATTCACGACCTAAATTTTGACAGGCACCCGCTATCGGTTCGTATTCTGACCAGCTAGCCTTTTTATTTAATTTTTTTTTAAAAAGGTCATCAAGGTAAGTTGTGCATTGCATAAAATGTGCAAAATTTCACTAACAATTAATTAATGCGTTTGGAATATTTTGATGTCCCTTGTTAAGCCTCTTTGGCGTTCTTTGAATGTCAACTTCCGGGTGAACGTGTAACGAAATCGTATTTCTAATTTTGATCAACATGAAAGCGTGTCAGTCCGTTTAGTCTGAATTGTATATAGAGCTTGTCCACCAGCAACAAGTTTTTAACTTTTTATGTCCCCAGATCGAAAGAAATCAACACGTTTATCACACAGCCAGTTTGCCACCATTGTCTTTTTTTTAAACTCATTACATACATAGTAAAAGTATTGTATTGATTCCTATTCAACTCAGACTTAGCTTTCTTGATTTGGTCGTTTAAGGTTTTTTTTTCATAAATTGCTACGGTTCTTCCTGATCTCGCGCAAATGGATACCGTAGATCCATATCAAACGAGAATAGAAAATATAACACTATGATGGAAATATGCAATTTCAAAATTTCATGCAAATTCTTTTTTAAATTTTGAGAATTGAAATGGCTATGATGACAAAAACGATTTAATTGCTCCCCGCGACAACAGCCGCTTCCCGAGAAACTAAATCTGAAAGCCAGAAGAGTTCCGAAATGGGACATGATGGAAAAAAGAAAATTGCTGGGGAAGAATTACCACGACTTACTATTTCACTAGGGACAATTAGCACAGAATTATTTACCTGTGAAAAACAGCTGTGTAGAACAAATATAGCAGATTTAATCGCCATATTTGTACGCATGTATAGAAAAAAAATATACAGACATATTTAAATAATACACATATTTCTCAATAGTACTGATTTACGAAACCTTTTTCAGTTTCTGATGATTAAGAACCGTACACAATTTGCAAGACACTTTAGGACATATATGGACAATTCTTTTTAATTTTGTAACAAAAAAAGCTTACAATTTCAGATCGTTCTAAACAGAACAAAATGTGCAGCAAATATCAGAGAGTTTAAATTGAATAGAATTTAGTAATTTATAATTCAAGCTAAAAAAAAAAATGTTGAAATATTTCATTTTGAGTATTTTATATTTCAAATTTCATTTTACTTGCATATAGATGTCCGGACGACAAAAAGCCCTCCTGCTGGTCTCTGGGATGGGTGGCGCAGGCTATGCAGCCTGGAAGACATTATTTCCGTGGATTGGTGACGATATCAAGACAATTAGAGTATTTTTGGAAGTTCTGAAAAGGATTGGCGAAAACTTTAGCAAAGGAAGGACAGTTCTGGATATGTTTGAAGAGAATGTGGTCAAACTACCGAAAAAGACATTCATCATTTTTGAGGATAGACAATATTCGTACGAATTTGTCGACACCATGGCCAATAAAGTGGCAAATCTTGCTGCATCATGGAACCTTCCCCGGGATTCTTCAGTCGCCATGATGATAGAAAATGAACCTGCATTTGTATGGACATTTCTAGGTGACACATAATTTTTCCTGAGCAAACGACTTTCCATAAAAAAAACTAACACTTTTATAATGACATAAACCATGTAATCTACTGTAGGTCTACAGAAGGCAGGACTTGTAGGAGCTTTTATTAATTACCACTTAAAGGCTCATCCACTCATACATTCCATCAAGGTCAGCGACGCACCCGTGCTCATCATTGGCTCAGGTATTATATCAATAAAAATGGTCATTTTGATGTTAATTCAATAAGTACATGCAATCTAATTTAACTTTCATTCTATGACAGGAGATGGCCATCTAGAGTCGATTCAAGAGATACTGAACGATTTACCCGACATTAAAATATATGTTCAGGGAAAGCGACAAACTGACCTCCCGTCAAAGTTCGTTGCCATGGACGACGTACTTCTTCGTACCCTTCCTGTGGCTCTTTCTAAGGTACACCGAGAGGGGACCACCTTACGCAGTCCCGTCTGCTACATTTATACCTCTGGTACAACAGGTGTGTACGAGTGTTATTTTGAATATTCTCTATACAGTAAACATGTTCATAACGAAGTGCCGGCGATGGACGATTTTGTTTCTTAAACCTAATTCCTTATATCCTTGAAATCACTTTAAACGTCAATTCATTTAATGCATGTTCGTTATAAACGTATTTTTACTATACCTAACTGGCCCTCGGGTGACAACCCTACTCAGACCTGATAATTGGTGATAATTGGTGATGTCTCCCATCTAAACAGTCCAAAATTGTATATGTTCAAATTCAGGTAATAATTTTATTGATCATTATAACTGCAGAACACTTGCAAACTGACATATTTAAAATTGTGTGAATTTGCAGGACTACCTAAGCCAGCAATAATCAACAATTCGAAAGCCATGTCTTCCTCGGTGTATTGGCAAGCGTTGCGCGCGGTTACAATGAAAACGATATAGGTTATGCTGTTACACCTCTATACCACAGTGCTAGCACCACGTTGTGCCTATTTAATACAATTGAAAGAGGTATATATGACTGTATCTTTACGTATAGAGTTTTATAGCATCAGTTCGTTTTCTTACTTTCAAGAGTATCTGGGTCTGTTTTACAAAAGAAACTAACGAATTAAACCAAAAAAATTAATTCTGCTAGAACTTTCTAATTTGCATTAAATTGAAAATGGTTTTAATCTTTTTAAAAGGAATGTAGAAAAATATTTTCATCATAGCAACTTTTCATACAATTATTAATTTTGCGAAATTTTACAAACAATGTTAATCACCGTGCATAACCCCACATATGGGGGCGCGGAATGGTGCCACCCGGGGGTGAGGAATTCGAAGCGGAATTTGCAATGTTCGTTGACCTGTTTAGCTTTCCTACAGTGATTGAGATGAAAATAATCCTAAATTCACTTACGACGGAACACAGTGATATCCCAGCTTACTGTTACTCGTTTCCAAGCTCGGGACTTGTCCTAGAAATACATGAACACTTCTGCAATATCTGGTAAGAGCATGCGGCAACGCAAATTTGACTGTTTCTTTGTAAAAATTGTTCCCTTTTATATCACTCAGCTTCATTTGATTTATGTGAGGGGCTTCTAGATATGATTTTGCTCCAGACACTCCAATATTTCGGAGAATTCCACCTCAAATAAAGGGGACAGACTACAATTTAAGTGTGTGGCACTCGGGGGTGAAGATTTTAGTGGAGGCTGGGGGAAGGAATAATGTTTAGTCATTGTATATCAATCGTAATTCTTAAAATCTGCTCTGTTTTAATTGTTTAGATCCTGGTACTTTATATAAATTTAAATTGGAACTGTCTTTTTTAAATGATTCGACAAATAGTGCTTTGTACAGGCACATGGCATCGTTTTTGAAAGTGGAATGGGGGACCAAAGAAAAAAAATTTTACTTACCTGTAAAAGTTGACAAGTAAAAAAAAAAGGGGGGGGGGGAGAGAGAGACAAACTCGAAAATCCTATCTCGGGGGGGGGGGGGGGGGGGGGATGGCCAATTTTTTTTTTTGGCATACAATAAAGGTTTAATTTCAATAATGAAAAATTTACTCTAGATTCTATTTTTACAAATTGAATATGATTTTTATATATCTGAAGCTATGGGTATTCTGTACGCCTTGTTAGCTCATCTCCTTTCAATAGTCAGTATATATAATTAACTTCACTGCATGAAGACTTCCGGTGTGGCTGCGCAAATGGCGTGAAGTGAGAAGGAGCAGAGGGTCGTTTTTTCTGTTTTCCTAAGTGAACATTAATATTTGATACGAGGCATTGCAGATAGTTTTCTTAATTACGTGAAGACATTCGTTTTAGGTGAATTTCAGGTATTTTCCTCTTTGTTAAATGCAACAGACTGTAAGTCACTACTTTGCACAAGGAAATTCGGGAAGCTCGTGCAAGATGCCGAAGAGAAAAGATACAGAGAAGGAGAGTGCGCAAAATGATGAGGTGTCAAATAAAGAGTTAAAGGAACTTTTCTCTAATCTAATACAGAAGTTGGAGAGTTCAATGAACGAGAGGCTTACTGCGCTTGACAAAAAAGTTGAGGAAACGCTGATCGTTATTAAGGATCGTTATTAAGGAGGAGATAACTGATATGAAAACAGCGCTTCAAAACCAAGATGACCGATTAACTGATTTAGAAAAGCTAAACACAGAGGTTATACAACCCCAAAGTAAAAAGGTAAGCCTTCTTGAGGCTTCTTTAAAAGAACTGCAAGATCATATTACATACCAAGAGTTAAGATCTCGGAAATACAACCTCTCATTCCTAAAGCAGAGAATGAAGTTTCAAACGAGGTTATTGTGAAATTTTTGAGTGAAAAATTGGGCATGTCAACAGCAGAGTCTATAATGATTAAAAACTCTCATAGGGTTCCAAAAAACCCCAACAGCAGTTACAAACCTGGGGCACCAGAAGCAGTCATTGTTAAATTCGTTCTTATGGAGGACCGTAATATGATACTAAATCATGCCAGAAACACTACCCTACCGAAAGGATATGCAATACGAACAGATCTACCCGTGCATTTGAAGAGAAAGAGGGCAGAACTGGCTCAAAAGGCATATGAACTCAGGAAATCAGGAATGAAGACGAGAATCCGTGAAACGAAAGACGATGTGATTCTGGAGTATCGACAAAAAGGAGAAAAAGAATGGCTCGCTTTTAGTGATTCCTTCTAATTGATCTAGATAAGAACAAGATTATTTGCAGGAGATGACAGGTTGTAGGAGTATGATATGGTGAAGGTTTTGTATATCTGTAAAGTGCTGAGTTATGCTACAGTTGGTATCGTGTTGTTTACTTGTCAAATAATGAGTATGTTTTAGATGCTATTAGAAAGATATATTAAGGTATGCTGCAGTTGTTTAAAAGTAAAATACCAGTGTTTTGAGCTTTGGATGATATCTGTAAAATTCAGAGTTATGCCTTAGTTGTTAATAACTTGTAAAATATTGAGAATTTTTGGTATCGTTATCTGGAACTACTGTGTTATGTCATAGTTGATAACTTGTAACATATCTACATGTAGTATGTCTCAGGATATATATTTGTTTGGCAGCTTATGGTTTGCTGTATAAATTACATGGGGACATATTGGTTTTTTCTTTTTAATGTAATAAATACCTAAATTTCAACAAAGATTACAAAGATTACTGGTAGAAGTTCATAGAGGAGCTTGTATTTATTATTATTTTTTCTATGAGAGAACTACGGTTCACTATCTTATTTAGGTGGCTAAGTTAAATTAAAAAGACCCAATGCGATGTAATACATGAATTTTCTTGATTTGTTTTGTTACCATACAGGAAGTATTTTTCATTTTTGATATATGTGTGAAAGAATGGAGAGTATGCAACATGCATATTTTTTTGCCTTTATTCAACTGTGTAGTGTAATCTATGACTAAGTTAAAAATTACTTCTGTAAACTGCAGAGGTTTACATGATTCTATGAAAAGAAAGGATGTCCTAAACTATTTAAGAAATTTTAAATCATCTATTTATTGTTTACAAGACACCCACTGTACAGAATTAGAGAAAAAATCAGTTTATGCCCAATGGGGTAATGACATACTCATCAGCTCAGGAAAATCAGATGCAAGAGGGACTTTAACCCTTTTTAATAACACAAATGAAATAAAAATTTCTAAAGTTTATAGTGATAATGAGGGGAATTTCATTATATCAAATATAATGGTGGATAACAAGTACTCAATCACTTTGGTTAATTTATATGGTCACAATGGAAGGATATGGAAATAACGAACAGTATTCAATCTCAACGTCCATTAAACAAATATACAAAATAAGTGCAGAGCAAACACGGACCTCCGAAACATCAGAGGTGGGATCAGGTGCCATGGAGGAGTGAGCATCCCCTGCCGACCGGTCACACCCGCCGTGTGCTCGTTGTCATAATCAGGATATAACGGAAAAAATCCGTGGTCAATTCAGTGTATAAATAATGGACTAACAATTGGTATGAAAAACGTCATTCAGCATTTCATTCAATGATAAATTGTATTTGCTGACAAGGTCATTGTATCGACCATAGAATTTACGAAATGATGACTTTAAACGAGACTGTTGATATTCTTGTTTCATCAACTTGCTTGTCAATAATTTACCTCGTTTAAGAAACTGTTCATACGCAGAGCATGCTCTTGCATATCGAATCAACTGAGATATAAATACTCCGTATGCAGGTGATGAAGGTATATTGCTGCATAAGTAAGGGAAGTTGATAATCCTAAATTTTAAGCAGAAATAAGTGATAAAATGGATGATTTTTTTGATACTGACTTTATAATTATGTGTGGAGACTGGAATGTAGTACAAGATTACCAGTTAGACTGTTACAATTATGTTAGAGAAAACAATCCCAAAAATAAACTTGAAATTGAAAAATTAAAATCAAAATTCAATTTAGTAGATCCTTGGAGAATCAAAAACCCAGATGCTAAAAAATATACATGGAGTAGGAAGAACCCAGTAAAACAGGCTAGACTTGACTTTTTTTTAGTATCAGAGGAACTCTTATCAATTATAAATGATGTTAACATGATGCCAGGCTATAGGGCTGATCACTCTATCATAGAATTAGATGTTACTATTAATGAATTTAAACGTGGAAAGGGTTTCTGGCGTTTTAACAATTCCTTATTGAGAAACAAAGAATTTGTGACAAATGTTAAAAAAATTATAAGGGAAACGGATAATGAATATCGTATTGATGAATCAATGTTAGGAATACCAGATAATCTTTTTCTTGATGTTCTATTAATGAAAATAAGGGATATGGCAATACAATTATCTGCAAATTTGACCCGAGAAAGGAGGGATCACAAAGCAAAGATTGGAAATCAACTTAGAATTTTACATGATATGTATAATAATTACCCTTTGTCAATTTATCTAGATATGATAAGTGACCTTGAGACAGAATTAGAGGAAATTAGAAAATATGAATTGAAGGGGCTATTGTTAAGAAGTCATTGTAAATGGATAGAAGATGGGGAGAAACCTACAAAATATTTTTGTGCCTTAGAAAAAAGAAATTATGTCAATAAAAATATTAGCAATTTAATCAATAATGATGGTAAATATGTAAATAAGCAAGCAGATATCTTAGAAGAAGTAAAGAACTTTTACAAAAAATTATATGAAAACAAAGATCAGGAGCTTGATGATGTAAATCTTGAAGACTTATTCCAAAACTTTGAGGTTCCTAAAATAAATAATGATATGAAAAACATTTTAAATGCTGAAATTACAAAACAAGAAATACTTCAAGCTCTTAAAAATTTTAAGAACGACAAAACACCCGGAACTGACGGTTTTACAGCAGAATTTTTCAAGTTTTTTTGGACAGATATTAATTCATATATTCTCAAATCCTTTAATTACAGCTATGAAGTAGGTCAATTATCTTATACTCAGATGCTTGGAATTATTTCTATTCTACCAAAAGGCA